CAAATTTGGTAAACACAAGAGAATTCACAACCCAAAATGTAAGTGTTTGAGTGTAAGTGAACAAGTGAAATTAGATGATTTACAAGTGGAATTCAGCAATTTACAACAAAAATTAGGCAATTTACAAATAACATAATGGAACTCATAATCCCAAATACAAGTGTTTAAGTGTAAATGAGCAAATAAAATTTGAAGATTTACAACAAAAGTTTATAGATTTGCAAGTGAAATTCGACAATTTCACTTACTCATTTGTACTTAAACACTTGCATTTGGGGTTATGACTTCTATTATGTTATTTGTAAATTGCCTAATTTTTGTTGTAAATTTCTAAATTCCACTTGTAAATCGTCTAATTTCACTTGTTCACTTACATTCAAACACTTACATTTTGGGTTGTGAATTCTCTTGTGTTTACCAAATTTGGGTTGTAAATTCATAAAATTTTATTATAAATCTTCAAATTTCACTTGCTCATTTGCACTTAAACACTTGCATTTGGGGTTATGACTTCTATTATGTTATTTGTAAATTACCTAATTTTTGTTGTAAATTTCTAAATTCCACTTGTAAATCGTCTAATTTCACTTGTTCACTTACACTCAAACACTTACAATTTGGGTTGTGAATTCTCTTGTATTTACCAAATTTGGGTTGTAAATTCATAAAATTTTATTGTAAATCTTCAAATTTCACTTGCTCATTTGCACTTAAACACTTGCATTTGGGGTTATGACTTCTATTATGTTATTTGTAAATTGTCTAATTTTTGTTGTAAATTGCTGAATTACACTTGTAAATCGTCTAATTTCACTTGTTCACTTACATTCAAACACTTACATTTTAGGTTGTGAATTCTCTTGTGTTTGCCAAATTTGGGTTGTAAATCCATAAACTTTTATTGTAAATCTTCAAATTTTACTTGCTCATTTGCACCTAAACACTTGCATTTTGGGTTATGACTTCTATTATGTTATTTGTAAATTGTCTAATTTTTATTGTAAATTGCTGAATTACACTTGTAAATCGTCTAATTTCACTTGTTCACTTACATTCAAACACTTACATTTTAGGTTGTGAATTCTCTTGTGTTTGCCAAATTTAGGTTGTAAATCCATAAACTTTTATTGTAAATCTTCAAATTTTACTTGTTCATTTGCACCTAAACACTTGCATTTTGGGTTATGACTTCTATTAAGTTATTTGTAAATTGCCTAACTTTTGTTGCAAATTTCTGAATTCCACTTGTAAATCGTCTAATTTCACTTGTTCACTTACATTTGGACTGTTGCGTTTATTTTGTTATATGTAGTTTTATTTGCATTTTATGATTGAATGGGTTGCTTGGCTTGGTGGTTACAACTCTTTTGGTGTGCCAAGGGGTCCTGGGTTCAAACCCTCCCTTGGCCACTTTGTTTTAAACAAAAAAACTCCGGCCACCGGAGGTCCCGTCGGAGTTACTGTTCCGGCCACCGGTGACCGGACCCCGACGGCGGCCACCTGAGCACCGGTGGCCGGAACAGTAACTCCGGTAAATATTTATTTTTTAATAAAATAAAAATGGAGGGGTATTATTGTAATCTCACTCTAAGAATTAATATCAGATTGGTCCCTTGGTCCTGCAGTGAGGTTTCAGAAAGTTTTGGGGGCTCTTTGAAATTATTTGCCTTCTGCGGTCCTACAGTGAAATTTCCCCATAAAATAACGAGCAGATAAACTGCTTTAAATAACTGACAAAAGAGGGAGATGAAACAGCATCATAAGAATAAAAAGAAAAATTAAATAAAAGAAATAAAATTTCCCGCCAATAATAACATTTGCCAAAGAGGGTAGGGATGTTTAGGAATGAGGATGAATTTTTTTCTAGATGCCAGAGATTGATAGGACTTTTGAAGCCATATCAAGAACGTTAGATTGTGAATCCATAGCAAGGATGCACGAAGACACTTGCTTAAAAAAATTGGACTAGCTCTATAGTAAAATCTCCACGAAAGTTTCTTTAAAAACGAACCTTAATAGTAATTAGCTCCATGACTGTGTTAATTCCTTGATTGTTTTTAAATTTATGAAGGAAAATATTCCAAACCTTGTGGTTATATTGATTTCTGTTTAAGGAATTTGAAGAGAAAAATCTCTTCTCATAAAAGAATTAATTACAAGAAATTGTGTTTTTATCTTACCTCTTGAAAAACAAAACTATTAAAAAGACTTACTCATCACTCAATAGTATTCCTCCCCTATTTTGCTCATGTTGCTCATTCCCATTTCATTTAATTCCTTACAAAAATATAAAAATAATTAGACTTGGGGAGTATTTGGGATACCTGGGGAGTATTTGGGATACCCCAAAATCACTGAAACAACTGCTTTCACATTAGTCGAGATTAAAAAAAAATTTCACATATTAATTTCGTATATTGAAAAATTATTTTTAAAATTATGATTTGGTTTTCATCCAAACACTCGCTTAATAATAAATATGCATGTAGAATGACTCTTTAACTGAAATATATTGAGGTTTTAAAGTTAAAATCTTATGTTCGTAATTCCTTACTCATCATCAATTGTGTTGGGCCGGTAATTGCATTTCCATTGGATTGTTTACCCGCATATAAATGAAAGGAAGAATCTCAGAAAACAAAGCTTAAAATTATTAAATTTATAATTAAATTTTGTAACAACACTTTTTTTGTATAACAGAATATTTATTTTGGGTTTGAGGGTAATCTCTGTCGAGCCAAAAGCGTTAAAATTAAAGCCTCCCAACAAATACACTTTTATGATTCAAACATGTATTCTTCTTCTTACAGGATAAGACCGTTTACCATCTCAATCAATAATACTTTAATAGGTTTTGATAACACTAAACTGACAAATAACAATACATTTTTATAAAACTTTCTTACTTGAGATTTTGTAATTTCAAGCTTTTTTTCCTTTGTGGGATTCTCTCTAAATCTATAGATATAATTTTTTTAAAAAAAATATAAAAATAATATTTGGCTACCTGACATCTTGGATGAGCCACTGTTTTAACTTCCTTCCCACTAATTGCACGTTACGTCCACTAATTAAAAGTTAAAACTTTTTTAGACTTAAATTTTGTTTCATATATAGGGTAAAGATCTAGCCTTGAATAATATTACTTATTTTTGGATGTCATATTAGTGCATATGACATCTAGCTGTCTTTTATTATTGGACACAATCAAAGGAGCACGCTCTATGCATTGAATATTATAAATTCCGAATGCTTTTGATTTAACTTGAAACTCGAGGAGCTATGAAATTATTAATTAGAATTATTTCCGTTTTTTTAAAATCAATATTTTACTGATTACTACATATATTATACTCCTTCTAATTATTATGCTCTTGCTTGTGCAATTTTTTTTGGAAGATAGTTGCAATTGTTTTATACTTCACCTGTTTTTTCCCCCTAAGAATCTTTTATAGAAGTTAGCATAGCAGGAGGGGGGGCAACAATGTGGCCATGGTAAGATAGTTTTTGCCGCTTATCATGGGGAGGTCCCAGAATAATAAGCCACAGCACAGCACATGTTTTGCGCATCAAGTTGTATTTCCCCCTTTTTTCCCCCTAGTTAAGCACAGCTGTACTTTGGAGGCACATACCGTTGGGCATGAAATGTGGTAACTATAAATTTTTTCTAAATATTTAAAATCATAATAATATTACTCCTTACCATTAAAAATGTTAACAAAAAATGTAACTATTTTAACCATCAACAATAAAGAGTAATATTGCTGCGGTGTGAGGAGTTTTGTCTCCACTTATATAAAATATGCTTACAAGTGCCACAGAACAAAAAAAATTGGACTGAACCTGCTAATTCAACCAAAAAAAGGGACCGAACTAGAGCCAATGGTCTTGGTTTGGTTTAAGCATAGAATCAGTCAAGAGTTGAATCAGTCAAACCAGTATGAATTGGTGAAAACTGATAAAAATTGGTGTGAGTTAGTGATAAACCTATTTGAATGATTATGATACTATTGGTCTTTTTTTTTTTAAATTCAGCTCCTAATATCTCAGTCACTATAGATTTAAATGAATGTTAGTAATAATTTTGATATCAATGATTATTAATTTTAATTGTTAATAAATTGTAAAGATCAAAATTCTTAATTTTATTGTACTTTGTTATTGTTATAATCAAATTATTGTTATATTTTTTTGCATTTTATTATTAGTTATTATTAATATTGTTGTATTTTGTTATATTCAATTAAATTATTTTATTTTAATATGACTGGTTTGATCTAAATTGACTCCAATCTAATCAACTAACTCTTAAAATACTATCTTAACCAGTTTAATATCCAGTCTAATTTTTTATTTCTTGATAAGTACTTTTAAACGTCATATTTAAGGCCTGAACAAATTTGCATGTTAACCCATCTAAATATACTCAAGCCCCAAAAAAAAAATCCCCATCCAAATATACCACCGATGTTGTGACTCGCGAGTGGGAGGCAACAGTCATATCCCCATTCGCTGTTGGCTGCTTGTCTCCTAATCCCTCACAGCAAAGCCGGAAATATAAGCGCCCTCAGTTTTCAACGTTCCACGTGTCGTCTTCTCCTTCATCACATGATGGGATTTATTCATCTCTTTCTCAGGCCCCACCATTCCTGAATCCCAACGAGTCCGAGGAGAAAAGGCTTCCCCACTCGTAGATATTTCTCGTGGTAAACACTCGCCACATCCAAACAACATCTGTCCCCCGGAATCTTTCTTGTCCTGCTATTGGGAATTTCTATGACGGTCACCCTAAACCAAACTCGAGCGCGTGGTATGGGTCCGCCGCCCAGCCAACTACTTCTAAAGAAAACCACTGGCGGTTTTTCATTTCCCGAAAAACAGAAACCGGTTTTTTTGTTTTTATAGTTCAAAATGATAAGAATGGAGACACGCAAAACAAAACCCACTTGAAGCTTTCCAACTGAAGTATTCATAGTGCATCATTCATCAGAAAGCCTCTCATTAGGTTCTTCCTCCTCTTCTCCTTCTTCTTCTTCTTTCCATAATATTGTTCTGTGATTTCCAGCTTGCCGATCATATAATAAGCTCTCTTTATTTCGATTTTTTTAAATTTTTATATCAGTTATGCCTGTGGTTCCTGGTTGAGAATGGTGTTTTTGTTTGAGATTTCTTACTTTTATATATATTTTTTTCTGATGAAATTTTGTAGCTTTACTGATTTGCTATGAGCTGTGGTTGATCTGGAAGGTGAAGGTGTTAAGAAGCCCTAGAAGAATGGGGAGAGGGAAGATTGCGATAAAGAGGATTGACAATTCAACGAACAGGCAAGTCACTTTCTCGAAGAGAAGAAGTGGTTTGCTCAAGAAAGCCAAGGAGCTTGCCATCCTCTGTGACGCTCAAGTTGGGGTCATCGTCTTCTCCAGCACCGGCAAGCTCCATGAATATGGAAGCTCCAGGTATTTATTCACAGCATTTTCTCTGTGTTTCTTTCTTAATCTTGATCTAATTAATATATTTTGGATCTTGTTTCTTTCTGAGATAATTAAACTTTCTTGAATGTGATGATATTCTGTCGGATACTGTGTGGCTGTTTTGCACTCGAAGAAATTAATAACCTTTTCTTGTATATCATGCGATCTTGTAATTGATGCTTTAGTTTTCTATGTTTTTTTTTTTTGGGGCTATTCTTTTTCTCTTATATTTGCTTGCTTAGGCTTGATATAGATATATACGTATGTACGTATGTATGTGCATAATATCATAATACACATGATCAACATGCATGCACTTGGGTTTGAATGGCGTCATTTTCAGAATTTTGTCTGTATCGTGAAGTTATCAGTAAACAGACTTGATCTTTGAAACTTGTTTTTCTCCTTTTTCTCTTAACTTTGTTCTATATATTGCGGGTCACTCTCAATTTAAGACTTTATATAAGAAAACTTATGTTAATTATATATATTATATGTATAGGTAAAGTAGTGAGACCAAACTTCACCTGGCTTCCTCTAAAATAACTATACAAATTAATCCCTCACCAGACTGGCAAACTTCTCTGGTTAAACTGAACTGCACTGCCATGACGCACTTTTAGCTAGCTAGCTTTCATACATACATATATAGATCCATAAAACTGCAAATACATACACACATAAAAAGATATCTCTTGTATATAGAAATATACGGAAAATTGATCATTTGATCCTTAATTATAATTTGATTTGATTAAAATCATCCAGTTCCTGAATTTTCACTTGACGCAGCTTAGTTGTCCTTGTTAGTGTCTGTGTGTATATATCATCTTAAGGTTGGTTTTAAATCATGAAAAAGTGATATAAGGGACGGATATGGATCGGCTAGAAACAAGTTAGGAAACTGGACGAACAATCGAAGGTAGGACCTTAAGAGAACATGTCTCTTACAACCCTAGCCATGGAGACACCACAAGGATGATCAGTCCTTGATACAGTCGAGTATTCCCACGAGAATACGAGGCGGCAAGCAAAGCTCACTCAAGAGAAATAAAATTCTCTAAAATTCATTCATTCAAATCTGATCCTCAATTACAAAAAACGTAGCCTTATATAGGCAGCAAAAGAACACTCTAGAATCAAAAAACCCTAGGTCATAAATGCCATAAATGTGCCTTAATGATGATTGACTATCTTGGTTGGCACCAATTAAGGCTAAAGGAAATAGGAAATTACCTTTTCTTGAAGAAAAAGGCTTCTACCTAAAAATAGGAAACTAACCTAAAATATTCTTATGCAATCTTTGACCAAAAGGCCTTATTTAATGCAAATAAAAATGGAAACTTAAAAAAAACGAAATTAAACCATAACTAATACATAAAGACGCCTTCTTGATTCTTCTTGAATATTCTTGGACGTCACTTATGCTCCTCCTCAAGGCACATGCTTGTCACATGGTATTTTGAGTGAATTCTTTAATCTGGACTGCACATGGGCCTTGTACATCATCTTGTTTGGCTTCTAGCAATGTAATCACCATGTTTGGACCCTTGATGGGCTGATTGAGGGATGCTTCTTCCAAATAAATGGGCTCTAACTCTTTAAGATCTTTTATCAAACAATTCAGCGCCTCTTTCATAGATTTGGTCCTTGCTCTTGTCATTGGGCCTACAATGCCTTGTAATGGGTCTTTTAGAATATTGGACTTCCATCTTTTAGCTTGGGCTCCACGCTCCGTGTTTTGGTCTTCCTTTGATGCTTGATCATGCCATGCTCCCCTATCATTCCCTCCCTGCTCAAAAGGATTCGTCCTCGAATCTACAGCATCAAAGAGAGATAAATCAGTCACATTAAATGTAGCACTTACATTACCGTAGGAGCTAGGCAAATCTATTTTATAAGCATTATCATTGATTCGCTCCAAGACTTGAAAAGGGCCATCTCCTCTTGGCTGCAACTTAGACTTTCGTTGTTCTGGAAACCTCTCCTTTCGCAAGTGTATCCAAACCCAGTCTCCAGGCTGAAAGACAAGCTTCCTACGACCTTTGTTAGCTTGCTTTGTATATTGCTCATTCTTTCTCTCGATGTTGGCCCTCACCTTAGCATGTAATTCCTGCACAAACTCAGCCTTTTTCTTGCCATCAAGGTTAGCTCGTTCACTAGAAGGCAAAGGCAGAATATCCAAAGGAGATAGAGGATTAAAGCCATAAACAATCTCAAATGGAGAGAAAGAAGTGGAAGAGTGAATAGCCCTGTTATATGCAAATTCAATATGAGGCAAGCAGTTGACCCAATTCTTCAAGTTCTTTTGAATTATTGCACGTAACAAGGTAGTGAGTGTTCTATTGACGACCTCAGTTTGCCCATCCGTTTGGGGATGTGCCACAGTAGAAAACAGCAACTTAGTTCCAAGCTTACTCCACAAGGTCCTCCAAAAATGGCTAAGAAACTTTACATCCCTATCACTCACAATGGTTTTAGGCAATCCATGCAATCTAACAATTTCTTTGAAGAACAAGTCAGCAATATGCACAGCATCATTTGTTTTAGAACAAGCAATAAAATGAGCCATTTTACTAAATCTATCCACTACAACAAAGATACTATCTTTCCCAGATTGAGACCTAGGCAAGCCCAACACAAAATCCATAGAAATATCTACCCAAGGTTGGGAAGGCACAGGTAGAGGGGAATATAAACCATGAGGTTGAACCTTAGACTTTGCATGCCTACATGTCACACATTTAGCACAAACAGACACAACATCTTTGCGCATACCAGGCCAATAAAAGTGTTCATGCAAAAGAGCTAATGTTTTGTCAACACCAAAGTGACCCATCAAACCACCACCATGAGTTTCTTTTACAAGCAGCTCGCGCATAGAGCAATTGGGAATGCACAATTTATCTTTCTTAAAAAGAAACCCATCAGATCTATAAAAGTCATTCACCCCATGCTTTTCACAAGAAAGCCAAATTTTGGAAAAATCACAATCAGAGTCATACAACCCTTTCAATAATTCAAATCCAAGTAATCTAGCATGAAGAGAAGTGATAAGAGAATACCTCCTAGAAAGAGCATCAGCAACAACATTCTCTTTACCTTGCTTATGCTTGATCACATAAGGAAACGTCTCTATGAATTCCAACCAGCGAGCATGCCTCTTGTTAAGCTTACCTTGAGACTTTAGAAACTTCAAACTTTCATGATCAGAGTGAATAATGAATTCCTTGGGCCATAAATAATGCTGCCATGTTTCTAAAGTTCGTTTTAAAGCATAGAGTTCCTTGTCATAAGTAGAGTAATTCAAAGAAGCTCCACTTAATTTCTCACTGAAGTAGGCAATAGGCCTAGACTCTTGCATTAGAACAGCACCAATACCAATCCCAGAAGCATCACATTCAATTTCAAAAACTTTATTAAAATCAGGTAAACACAAAAGTGGTGCATTGGTTAATTTCTCTTTCAAGGTATTAAAAGCTGTTTCTTGTGTTTCACCCCATTTAAATGTCACATGCTTCTTAACAAGCTCATTTAGAGGTGCAGCAATAGTTGAAAAATCTTTCACAAACCTCCTATAGAAACTTGCTAGTCCATGAAAACTCCTGACTTCATTGGCATTCTTTGGGGTTGGCCAATCTCTTATAGCTTTTACCTTTTCCTCATCCACATGGATCCCTTGAGCACCTACAACAAAACCAAGAAACACAACAGAATCCATGCAAAAGGAGCATTTCTGAAAATTAGCATATAAGCTATTCTCCCTAAGAGTTCGAAACACCTCATGCAAGTGAATAACATGGTCATCTATTGTTTACTATAGACAAGAATATCATCAAAGTAGACAACCACAAACTTCCCAATAAATGAACGAAAAACATGATTCATCAAGCTCATGAAGGTGCTAGGTGCATTAGTTAACCCAAAAGGCATAACTAACCATTCATACAATCCAAATTTAGTTTTAAATGCTGTTTTCCATTCATCTCCCTCTTTCATGCGAATTTGATGATAACCACTCCTTAGGTCAATTTTAGAGAATAAAGTAGCACCATGCAACTCATCCAACATGTCATCTAATCTAGGAATGGGGTAGCGATACTTAACTGTTATTTTGTTGATGGCTCTACAATCAATGCACATTCGCCATGAACCATCTTTCTTGGGCACTAGAAGTACTGGAACAGCACATGGGCTCAAACTTTCCCTTACAAAGCCTTTCCTCATGAGTTCATCAACTTGGCGTTGAATCTCTTTAGTTTCTTCGGGATTGGCTCTATAAGCTGGTCTATTAGGTATAGAAGCTCCAGGGATGAAATCAATCCTATGCTCAATTCCTCTTAAGGGAGGAAGCCCATCGGGAACTTCATCAGGGAATAGGTCACCAAATTCCTGCAACAAAGCCACAACACTAGAAGGCAAAGAGGGGTTAAGTTCGTTAGTAGAAAAATAAGCATCCTTGCACACAAGCACCAAGACTCGCTCACTCACTAATGCTCTCTTAACCTCACTTTTTCCAGCAAATAGACTCTCTTTCTTTTGTTCATTTTTCTCATATTCATTCCTCTTCTTTTCTTTTTTTCTGTACTCTCTCTTTTTACTCCACTCACTTATTTTTTTGCATTCCTTCTCAATCCTCACTTGGTCATCATAAGCTTCTTTAGGCCTAAGAGGCTTCAATACAATGATTTTTCCATTGAAAGGTACAGAATAACAATTTTTGTAACCATCATGGTGAGCTCTACTATCAAACTGCCATGGTCTTCCAAGCAAGAGATGTCCAGCAAGCATTGGGACTACATCACATAAAACTTCAGCATGGTAGTTGCCAACAGAAAAAGAAACCAAAACTTGCTTAGTGACCTTAGCTTCAGCACTATCATTCAACCATTGCAATTTATAAGGCTTAGGATGCTTCATAGTAGGTAAATCCAACTTTTCAACAAGTAAGGTACTAGCAACATTGGTAACACTACCACTATCAATAACCATGCTACATACCTTATTCTTTATGAAGCACCTAGTGTGGAAGATGAGCTCTCGCTGCTCTTGCTCTTTATCTTCCTTTGGTTGCATGTTTAGGGCTCTTCTAGCCACTAATGCTTCTCCCTTAACAGGTTCAGCTTCATCAATCTCCAATTCAGAATCAGTCACCAAAGAAGGCATGTCATCATCACTTTCATCGCTAGAATGCACACTGTCATACTCGCCATTATCTTTGAGAATCATGGCCCTCTTATTGGGACATTGGGAAGCAATATGCCCTTTTCCATGACATCTAAAACATTGAAGAGAAGAGGTTCTATCAGTAGAAGAAGTTTTAGAGTCAAGTTTCTTACCGCCATCAATCTTGGGCTTGGATTCCTCCTTGGCTTTTGGTGTGAATTTTGCAACATCTTTAGCCTTAGAATCCTTCCACTTGGATGCTGATCTAGAGTCCCTCCAACCATGAGATGAGGATTTGGAGTGTTTTTCTTTATACCGCTTCTCAACTTTGATGGCTTTATGCACTAGCTCTTCTTTATCAACAAAAGTGTACATCTCAACTTTGTCTCTAATTTCAGGCCTTAACCCATCAATGATTCTGGTCATGCTTGCTTCTTCTCCTTCTTGTACTCCAGCTCGCATTTTAAGAAGGTCAAGTTCATGCACATATTCATCTACAGTCATAGAGCCTTGGCCAAACAGTCGTAACTTTCTATTTAGCTCTCGGTAGTAGTAACTAGGGACATATTTGTTGCGCATGAGTTTCTTTAGCTTTGACCATGTATGAGGTGGTCCTTTGCCCTTAAGGCGCCTTTTAAGCTGTAAATCTTCCCACCAAACAATAGCATAGTCAGAAAATTGATATGAAGCAATTTTTACCTTCTTTTCTTCTGGCCAGTCATTCATCCTGAAGATTTGCTCAAACTTCATCTCCCAATCAAGGTATGCATCTGGATTTATATTACCCTTGAAGGTAGGGTACTTGATCTTTGGGTCATAGGTGTCCAAATCACGTTTTTCAGGTCTGCTCCTATTCTTTGAGGATGAAGAACCAGATCTAATCACCTCCTCATCACCACTACTTGCTTTGGATGCTTTTAGCTCCTCTAGCTCCAACTTGAGTTTGAGAAATTCATCTCTCATGGCTCTCATGAACAGCTTAGGATCTGTGTTGAATTCTTCCATATTGGCTTCTTTGTCACTCATCTTGAAATTGAAACGTTAGTGTGATCAAAGAGAAATGAAATAGTAAGAAGGGACCTTACCACTCTACTCGCGTGTTTCACTCGAGAAATTGTAGTGTCACTCGTGTTTAACTCAAATCTGGCTTTTAAATTGATGTAATAACACTCTCGCCTTTTACCACTCAAACTTGCCTCCTATAGTATTCTTGATTGAAACTCAACAAAATCAAGAGACAATGTTAGTAAATGGTAATCTCCACAACCAGAATTGCAAGAACCAGAAAATATAAGAGATAAGAAAGGAATATGTGATAAAAGAAGAAGGATAGGTACCAAAAACGTCAAAGGAAGGAAAAGAGGAGGGAAACGTAAAAAGGAAAAAAAAAAGAAAAGAAAGGAGAATATGGAAAGCTATGAATTAGAAAAGAAAGGAAAAAAAAAGGAAGAAAATATTTAGGAAAGGTGCTACCTTGAAAATAATTTAGGAAATTGGGCACCTTGCAAGAAAAGCAAATCAAGTTAGGAAGGTGAGATATGGAAGGAAGGAAGCAAATAGGAAACTTGAAGGAAAAGGAAAGAAACTCAAATTAAGCAATACGGAAAAAAAAAGGAAAGGAAAAAAAATAGGAAACAAGAAGAAATTAGGAAACATGCAAAGAGAGGAAATAAGAACTCTTACCACCCAAGTTTAACGATTTAGGAAACTAGTTGTGACTTGTAATGGAAGCTCTTCTCAATTTTAGGAAACTCATCTTTAACATTGCAATTCTCAAATCTGCAGCTTCTTCTCTTTCTTTTTTTTTTTTTTTGAATTTTCGGATTTTTTTTTTCTAGTACTCCTTTTTTTTTTCACAACACAACACTTTTTTTTTTTGCTTTTTTTTGGTGCACGAATTTTTTCTCTTTTTTTTTCTTTTTTGCTGCTCAAAGGAACACAGAAAGTCACAAAAAAAAAACACAAATAGGAGGTGGAAAGGCAAAGAAACAAATTGATGGAAGCAAGGGATGAAGAACGAATGATAGAATTAAGAAGATGAAACAAGAAAACAGAAATAATAGATAAAAGGATAGAACTTGAATTCTAGCAAACCTTAGCTCTGATGCCAAATGATATAAGGGACGGATATGGATCGGCTAGAAACAAGTTAGGAAACTAGACGAACGATCGAAGGTAGGACCTTAAGAGAACCTGTCTCTTACAACCCTAGCCATGGAGACACCACAAGGATGATCAGTCCTTGATACAGTCGAGTATTCCCACGAGAATACGAGGCGGCAAGCAAAGCTCACTCAAGAGAAATAAAATTCTCTAAAATTCATTCATTCAAATCTGATCCCAATTACAAAAAACGTAGCCTTATATAGGCAGCAAAAGAACAATCTAGAATCAAAAAACCCTAGGTCATAAATGCCATAAATGTGCCTTAATGATGATTGACTATCTTGGTTGGCACCAATTAAGGCTAAAGGAAATAGGAAATTACCTTTTCTTGAAGAAAAAGGCTTCTACCTAAAAATAGGAAACTAACCTAAAATATTCTTATGCAATCTTTGACCAAAAGGCCTTATTTAATGCAAATAAAAATGGAAACTTAAAAAAACGAAATTAAACCATAACTAATACATAAAGACGCCTTCTTGATGCTTCTTGAATATTCTTGGACGTCACTTATGCTCCTCCTCCAAGGCACATGCTTGTCACATGGTATTTTGAGTGAATTCTTTAATCTGGACTGCACATGGGCCTTGTACATCATCTTGTTTGGCTTCTAGCAATGTAATCACCATGTTTGGACCCTTGATGGGCTGATTGAGGGATGCTTCTTCCAAATAAATGGGCTCTAACTCTTTAAGATCTTTTATCAAACAATTCAGCGCCTCTTTCATAGATTTGGTCCTTGCTCTTGTCATTGGGCCTACAATGCCTTGTAATGGGTCTTTTAGAATATTGGACTTCCATCTTTTAGCTTGGGCTCCACGCTCCGTGTTTTGGTCTTCCTTTGATGCTTGATCATGCCATGCTCCCCTATCAAAAAGGATTTGTTCATAGTGGAAACATGGTTTGGACTAGTATTAACAAGGATAGGTTTGGTTCCTAGAGTAAGTTGCTGCGATTAGATATATGAATGAGTTCAAAAAAATGTATGGTCTATTATTCTAAAAGGATTAGCCAAATTATTTGTAGTATAAATAAGCTTTACATCAGGAGTTAGCCCTAAACATGGCAATATTCCAGTAGTTCTGCATGGTGAAATGGGACATACATTAAAAACCGGAGGAGTACTGTCTAATTCTAAAATGATATGTGTGTGTACCCATCACTTCGCTAATTGTTTATTTAGTGTAAATGCTTACAATTGGATAGTTTTCGGTGTCTATTGCATAATTTAATGTATAAGTAGTCATGCATGTCATTCATCGCCAGTGAATAATGCAATTTAGTATAGATTTTATATTTCATACTAGCTCTGATCCTTAGCTTAGCATAAGAGTTAGCTAACTAATTTGAATAGATTAAAAAAATTAATTAAGTTATTATTATAATAAATAGATATTATCTTCACCAAAATAGCCTGCTAATCAAATGTATTAATTAACTAAAAATACCATTTGATAAAATCTTTAATATGTGCAATTATTACAAAAACTATCTTGAGAAAAATGGATAAATATGACAGACAAAGTAAATTGAGGTCTTATATTTAGGACCAAATTAAATGTCAAATTAGCTCTTATATCAAAAATCAAAGGCAGTATTTTATATTAAGCAGTACTTTATGGGCACAAAAAATCTATATCGTGTGTGTGTGTGTGTGTGATCATGAGTTTCCAAGGTGGGATTACTGCATTGATTATTGATCCAGATTATCTAATACTACCTCCTATCATTCATTAATATAAAAAGCTACTTAACTGATTTGAATTAGTTAAGAAAATTAATTAAGTTAGTCATTTCTAACAAATATGAGTTGATTTTGATGAAGTACCCTCTTTAATTATGACTATTTTTAATAGCAATTTTGACATGTGCAATCAATAGAGATATTTTAGAGAATGAATCACAAATTTAGGGAGATAAAATTGGATCAAATTCTTATATTTATGATCAAATTTAATCTCTAACTAGCTCTTACATTTGTTAAGGAACAGAGGTGGTATTAGTTTACACTGACAAAAAGTTGACTTGATTTTCATCTTATTGATTGAATTGATCTCTGCTTAACATGGCAGTCTTAAATCAATTATTGACCGCTATAATAAATGCAAAGAGGAACAGCATCAACTTATGAATCCAGCTTCAGAAGCCAAGGTACGAGGACGAATTAATACCACTCCTCAAATATTTTCTTGAGGTTTAATTTCTTCATATATAAGTCCATGTTTAGTTACTAGACATTCTTTAATTATAGTCCCTTTGTTTCTGGTACTTGTTACAAACACTTCCATTATACTCCTCCGGTCCTAAGACCCATTTTGTAGTGTATATATAGGTCTTATATTTAAGACCGGAGGAGTATTTTATAATATAATATGTTTTGTCCGAAATATTTATTTTTCCCGCTTAGTCTCCCTAACTAGTTATAAAACTTCATAGCTAATTAACCAAACTTCTCCAATAATGATTTTTATTGAGGATAATTTTAACATTTTGCAAGACATAACTAATTTTAACTAACTAAATTTTCGTGTAAATAATGCCAATCATTAATACACATATACCTGCACTTGTCAGTGCAAGATTATACTACAAAAAGAAAGAGTGATAAATGAGAGGCTAGATTAAGAGAAGAAGCAAGGAAAAAAAAACCAAAAGGGGGAAATTCAAGACTTCAGTTTTCCGGGGGCAAAAACACATTTAATGGTATGAACACTATTGGAAACTAAAGTGGATCTAGAGAGAAACGGAGATATATCAAGGGTAGCATAGGCCTTGCTTGTTTCTATCCACACAAATTTCTCGACGGCATGAGATTCTATTGATATAGAGCCAATTCTAATAGACTTATTGGAGGGTCTCATTGGTGTGCATCCAGTAGGAATTGAACATATTAGCACATTAAATGAACATAACTATCTATCAACTTCTTCAACAGTCCCTCTCAAAGCTTTATTCCTGTGTAAATTTTATATATGTGGTTGTAAACTTTCTCAAGACTGCTAGCTATATATAATCATAGACTTCTTGCTTCCTGGAAATTCAATCCATATGAAAGATGAATCATCTTCGTTTCATTCATTCTTCCCCTTGCACAATATATAAAATTGCTTTATTTGTCATTCAATACTGCTTTTGGTCCTCAATATAAGAGCTAGTTTAACATTCAATTTGGTTTTAAATAGAATACCCTAAATCCACTCTATCTCTTATATTTATCTATTTTTTTCTTATAGTAGTTGCACATGTTAAATGTTTTATCAAATGGTAATTCTAGACTTCTAGCTAATACACATGATTAGCAATGTTATTTTAGAGAAGACAATACCAATTTATTACAAATAACAAACTTAACTAATTTTTTTAATCTACTCAAATTAGTCAACTAATTCTTTATATTAAGGACCGAAGTTAGTATAACATTTATTTGATATATGTGTGTGTATGGTTGCACTTGGTAGTTTTGGCAAAGAGAAGCAACGGTCTTGAGGCAACAACTTCAACGTTTGCAGGAATTGCACAGGTATAATAAGTAAAACTGATACATTGGAACGAGAATTATTAAATTCTGGTAACAAAATGTTGATCTCAACATAGAAAATGCAGCAATTTCACTAACACTACTTCTGAACTCACTCAACTACCATGAGGTTTATTCAAAACTGCAATTATTTCACTCCTTTTACACACATACACACACAACTTTACAGTATAACAAACTGGAACTATCTATTTAGTAATCCCAAGTAATTTATTTCCTTTTGGAAAATGCAGGCAATTGATGGGTGAACAAGTTTCTGGTTTGGGCATTAACCAAGTGAACAATTTGGAAAATCAACTGAAGATGAGTTTAAAACGTGTCCAGATCAAAAAGGTACGATAGTCCATTTAACATATATCTCACATTTTTACAGAACAAGTACTTAACTTGATCATCAAATTATCCCCATTTTCAGGATCAAATCTTAACTGATGAGATTAAAGAGCTACAACAAAAGGTATTCAAGAAACTCTCCCTTTTTGATCTTGCCATGTGTATATGAAAGGTATTCCCACAAATTCTGACTAATTTATTGATGCTATTGCAGGGGGATCAAATTAGTCAAGAAAATGTTGAACTCTCTCAAAGGATACACGTCATCAAGAAGGAAAATGCAGAGTTAAAAAAGGTGATTAAGTTGATGAAAAAACATGTTATCGAATTAGATCATATACTTATCTTCTCGTTCATATAATTTAATAGCTTTAGTCTCGCAATAGAGTGTGTGCAAATAGAGTTAAAGTTCAATTTTGCCATGAAAGTTTTCAGTAAGAGCTGTGGATATCTGAATTTTTTTTTTGGGATTAATATATATATATATATATATATATATGTAGCCCCAAAAATGTTGAAAAAGGAGCAATATCACTCTTAGTCATTAAAAATGTTAAACAATCAATGTTGGTTTTTTTTTTGTTAGGTTAAGGAGAATTTGCTCTTTTTTTAATACTTCTGGAATGATATTGATGCTAAAAAAGCTTTTAAATATCCACAATTTCCACATGAAAACTTTTGAAGTAAAATTGAATATTAACCCTATATAGACACACACCATCTGTTGTGCCTGTGCTATATATGTGTTTAACAGCTAAATGCTTCGACTTATGGTTCAAAGTCTTAATAAAGTTTTATTTCTTTTAATTAGATTTGTGAGGAAAGAGCTATGAATGAAGAAAATAAGAGTTTCAATGCACCATACAGTGGCAACCTGCAGTTGAGCCAGCAGCCACAATCTGATGAAGCTAGTGAGCCACCGACCAAAGCAATGGAACTGGGGTATATTATATTCCTTCAAACTCATTAATATAATAAACACACAACACGTATAAATATATATATTTCTGTTCATTCTTAAAATTACAACTAAGCATTTGATTCCTATGACTACAGATTACAGCTGCTTTAATTAGCAATAGCTGTTTGATCATTTGGGATTTTGAGACGCCGTTTGCGACCAACAACTTTCCTGTGGGAAGATCAAGTTTTCTTCTATGGGGAAGAGATAGGTATGTTTCAATTCAAAAAGATAGTTAGTTAGTTATTAGATAATAAACGCATCAGGAATCATTTATGTTATATGTATGGGGATCAAACACATTAATTGGATATTATCTGTCAATTATTTCGATATTAAAGCTATCAAATGTGAAAATTCCTCAGAAAAAGTCCCAAAAAAATGCTTCTAAAATTTTAAAATCACAAATCAGGTATAACTACAAAAAAGTATTATTATTTGCTTTTCAAATATTGTCAATTGTTATTGAAGTGTAGTAAATAAAACTGATTTGAAAATTTGAAATTCAAAAGTATTGTTTTGGGTTTCTCCCAAGTCCTTATTCCTAACCAACATAAATTTAAGACACATTATTTCTTATGTGCCATTCCAGTCCTAAATGTCAGTCACTTGTAGGAAAATTTTTGATGCTAAATGTGAATCACTTGCAGTATATTTAAAACCAGTTTTGCAATTTTATATTGCCAACATTTAGTGTTAGATAGTGTCCTGAATAGATTTTCAATAGAAAAATACTTGTGCTTAATTAAAATGAAAAGTATCATGAAATTGAGTTTTCTTACAAGGACAAAATAAAAGGGTGAAATCTTAGGTCAAATTAGCTCGATAAAAGGTTAGTGACGTAAATATGTCGTGAGTTTGACTTTCTTTTTTTGGCCAACATACAGTGAGTTTGATGAACCAACCAATATAAATACATGAATATTCACTGTTGTTGTATATCGAAAATGTTACATAAAGATACTTAACTAATTATTAGTTAAATAATTAGTCTAATTCATATTTATCAATATGGAACAACATTACTTACACCACACCCAAACAGTGAATTTTTCACAATAAATCAATCGTAACCACTATATACAATAGATACATATGGCTTTATTAAACCAAAAAATTCATAAACAAAATGTGTAAAATATTACCTCCGGTACTTAATATAAAAACTAGTTGACTAATTTGAATAGATTAAAAAAATTAGTTAAGTTAGTTCCTTATAATACAAATGTGTTTCCTTCCCTAAAATACACTGCTAATTAAGTGTATTAGTTAAAACTGCCAATTGATGCAATCTTTGACATGTGCTACAAATACAACAACTATCTTAGAAAAAATAGAGAAATAGTATAGACAAAGTGGACTAAGGTCTTATATTTAGGACCAAATTAAAAATCCAACTAGCTATTAAGAACTGGCGGTAGTATAAAAGTTAGTTGACTAATTTGAGTAGATTTAATTAAAAAGTTTTTTAAATTAATAATTTGTAATAAATAAGTATTGTCTTTCATAGGATATCTTTGTTAATCATGTGTATTAGTTAACATTATCATTTGATGAAATATTTAATATATGCAACTACTATAAGACTATTTTGAAAAAAGTCATTAAATATGATAGGCAAAATGGATTAGGATTTTATATTTAGGAACAAATTGAAAATCAAACTAGCTCTTATATTAAAAACAAGAGGTAGTATATGGGGAATTATCTTTTTAGGAAGTAGACTACATATATACCTTTCTCAGGTGATTACATCAAGGTATAACATAGTTACGTTGGTTAATTACCAAAAAGTCCTGTTATGTGATGCAATAATATCTTCTTTACTGGTTCGTCATTTATCTCTTCCTGGTTTTCTGGCGGGGAAAACAAAAACCTATAAAACTATTTATGGTTGCAACCCCCCCCCCCCCAAATGAGTACGAGGGATGAGCAGGTGGGAAAGAGATGAGGGGAAAATTTTTTTAATGAGTTTAATTTTAAAAATTAAATAAGTGGAGTCAAAAGTTTTTAATTATTTTTCTTATTTTTTTATCTTAAATATTTTCTTTATTAAAATTTTATAATCTTACTTATTCAATTTTCAAATCAAGTTTATTTAATTTTTTTTCCTTGCCCCTGTATTAATAATCCGAATCAAATTTCAAATACGTTTGTAATTACTTTTAAGTTTTAATCAATGTATTAAATGGATGTTTGGGAATACCCAACACAAAATGAGACAAACTTTTCCACATTTATTTTATATGCTGTAAAAATACTTTTAAAACCATGATTTAGTTTCCATCCAAACACCCTCTAAATGGCCTGAAGTAGGGAGACTGATGGGAATGTGACTCTAAGTTTGTGGATAAGCCATAAATTATTAAACTAATCATTTTATCGTAGAAATCTCTTAATTTCAATAACCTCGACTATGAAAATACTTTGGATATTATTAAAATAAATGTTTAACCATTATATATGTTTTTGGAAAAATTTAAAAAAACGGTAGTTGAATTTTTGAAATCAGAGAAGTCACCTGAATTTGTAAAATTCCAAATCAATCAATCATTATGACTAAATTTGAATTTTTAAAATATTAGTGAATTTACAATGTTATCTAGAACTCCAATGGGTCGAAGCTCCAGCAATTAGGAACTCTTTTTTTTATATAATTTTTTTAACATTCATAACGTGATTAACAATTTTTATAATAATATTTATAATTTTATTAACACTATTTACCACACATTTTGCTAAATTTTTAAATTGGGTTTTTCAACATTTGTAAAACAACTCTTATAATAATATTCATAATTTGGTTAACTATATTTATCATGTATTTTTTAGGTTTTTAAATTGAAAATTTTTTCAATATTTATCATATGGTTGTTAGATTTTATAATGATATTCACAACTTCACTAATGTCATATCAACTATTTTATATGATAGGTTTTTAAACTTGGAAAAGTTGGCAAGTGGCTAACCTTAGGATATTAATGGAGTTGTGAACATTATTATAAAAGCTATCAATCACATTACAAATGTTAGAAAAATCACAATTTAAAAACCTAAAAACACATGGTAAATAGAGTTAATGGAGAAGTGAATACCATTATAAGAGTTGTTAATCATGTTATGAATGTTAAAAAAAATCCAATTTTAAAAACATAATAGATACGTGAAACATAGCATTAAAAGATTTGTGAATAGCATCATGACTTGTTAATAATATTACAAATAATGAAAAAAAAAATCCCAAAAAAAAAAAAAAAAAAGCTTGTGGCCGCTCTAACGCTATTATTCTCTGGTGGCTGGTGGCCAATGAGAGAGTGACTTTGAGTTTTGGAAAAAAAAAAAAATCAAAGAGCAATATTGTAAATTCATCAATATTTTAAAATTCTAATTTAGTTACTATAACTGATTTGAAATTTTGCAAAATCAAGTCACTTGTTAGAGTTTTGAAAATTTAATTATCATTTTTTAAAGAATTTTCTCAATGTCTTTTATAGGAGTCAAATGAAATAGTACGTATAGATAGTTCAACACACTCAAACATAAAGCACGAGTTTCAACTAGTGACCTCCCTCCTAAATAGGGGGTTGCCGGGTCGGTGCTACTAAATCCAAGAGTCTTTAGCTCATAATGTGTTATTAATTCATCAGCTAAACATTTACTTCATTATCTTCAATATCAAAACTTGAGTGTCACATGTGCCGTAAAGTTAGTAAATAACAATTGAACAAATCTTATGCATAACCATGAACAAGGGTCTATTCCATGCAATGTATGATTATTAAAAATATGTGTCTAGAGGACAACGAAATTACGGCAAGTAATATGTTAATTGTGGGATTTGTGATTTATTTATTAGTTGAAGTGGAGAAGCAACGCAAATATTTTTCTAAAACTTTGTAAGGATAAAGAGAGAAAATAGGTGTAAAAAAGTGGGAGGAGGAAAAATAGAGAGAAGAGAAAAGTGAGAATAAATGTTTTCCCTTCTTATATTTTGAGAAAAATTAAAAAGGCCAAAAACTTATGATGATTTAATTAATCAATTCAATCAACTAACAATATATGATCAATTGAATTCTCCAACTATTTTATGTGGCAAATAATTGTTTAACTTTAGGTTTATAATAACTCAAAATAATTTTGCAGCGCTCAAAAATTTGACCTCTAAACTAAAATTTTCAAATCTGGAAAATGTCATTAATGGGCTTAAAATTAACTTCCACCTCAATGAAGCTCAAATGAACACCTTTAAGACTTAAAAAACATCCTACGGCCTACTATCAGTAACCCCAGTTCGTCACTGTTAGATACTAGAACTCGGTCTTCGTTCTTTTTTCTTCCAATTCACTTATTGGGCCAACAGACAGTACAACGTGGGGAACATTAAACAGATCTATTCCGGCCCCAAAAAAGGATCTAAAGTTAATCCACTGGCCCAATAGGAGGCCCAAATGGGGAGAAAAATCGTATTTTTGTATAGATAAATAATTGTATGGGTTCTAATTGTATTTTTCTTTATATTTCTCTTAAATTATTTAGAAAAATCATTAATGAACTTGAAATAAACTTGTACCCCAAGGCACCGAATATATTTGTATGGGAAGGTTTTCCTTTTGATTTTTTATATGGCAAATTTTGAATTACAAGTCCAGTCAAACAAAAATATGATAAAATTCTAAACTTGGAATAAGTTAGGCTAAATATGCATGAAACTTTTCTTTTCCAACAGACATACAGAAGTGGAATCCAATCAGAGGAGACTTTAGGGCGTGTTTGAAAACACCCAAAAGTACTTCTCATAAGTACTTTTATGCAAAACGAGGAGAACTGAAACACACCAAAAGATAAACAATGGCGGGAGAGTACACAAGCAGAAGCATGAATTGAATGCAATCACACAAGAGGAAGAAAGAGAAGAAAGAGGGCACAAAACTAAATGCAAAAGAAGAGAGCACACAAACATTCAACAGAGAAAAAAGGCACTAGCAAAAAGTAGAATTAAATACAATGAAGCTCACCTAGCCAAAGAAAACGATGGAACTCAATTGATGTTTAGTGGCAATCTAGTTGTTGAAACTTTTTACAGTTGTTGCCACCTCACTCTTTTCTAATAGAATTTTGGACCCTATTAGTTCTGATTTAATCATTTTAAACAAGAGGAACTAACTGATTTAACTGTGAAAACTTAAAGGACCCAACAAAAGAGAAAAAAAATTCTAAGGATCTAATTAAAAATTAAGATAAACTATAAGGACCTCTATATTAATTTTTCCTAAATTATTTGATGCAAAACTGAAAAAAAAAAATCATATTTTAGCACATATAAATAATTGTATCGGTTCTAATTGTTTTTTTTTTGTATTTCTCTTAAATTATTTGATGCAAAACTGAAAAACCTTGACTTAATAAAGGAGAAAAGCAGCATATATATTTTTGACTCAAACATGCGACCTTTTAGTAATATAAACATTAATTAATCATAATCAAATAAAGTCTTTTTTTTTTTTTGGGCACAAAAAGAGGGATAAACGTACAATTTTTATCTCAATTCTATTTATCATTTTTTTTTAATTTTTGGGGCAATCATGTGTTCATAATCTGTTTATGTATACACTACCTCCGATCCTAATTATAAGAACTAGTTGACTAATTTGAGGAGATTAAAAAAACAAGTTAAGTTAGTTATTTGTCATAAATAGATGTTTTTTCTAAAATATCCTTGCTAATCAAATGTATTGGCTAGAATTACCATTACTAGAAGGACTATCTTGAAAAAAAAAGCATAAATATGTAAAACAAAATGGATTGGGGTTCTATATTTATGACCAAATAAAAATCAAACAAAATCTTATATTAAGGATCAGAGGTAGAATTTAACAGTAATGGGTAAAGTTGTATAAAAAATTTTACCCATTCACTTCGGAGAAGCTACACAGGCGATCGGATTCTCAAGACCCTCTTGTTAAGCCCGGAACCAAGAATGAAGATAAAACCAATTTTTGTTTCATAAATCTTCTCGATTTCTTGTGCTATCATTTCGGGCTAATGTTGTTCACTTGCTCATATCGTCACATTCAACCTCATATTCAAACTATTTAAGCTACTAATATCGAAGAGTCGACCAAATAAATCATGGGCTTAAAAGTATGCTGTTTAGTCGGTCAGTCTCTGGTTCGGAAATGGAGGACTTGGTCTCGCAATCCGGTATCTTTGTGGGTTCGGAGCTTACGATCAAAGGCTGCTTTGGAAGCCATTGCTAAAGCTTCGGAAGAGAGAGTTCCCGGTGTTGCGCTCTACAATTATCCCTCTTTTTCTGGAGCTTACTCGGCTCTTTTTGCTCACCTCTTCCGCACTTATCATAATATCCCGTGCCTTATTTTGCCTTTCTCTTCTGTTGAGCCTCTCAGGTTAAGCTATCAGACGCTTCTATTTTTCACTACGGGGTTTTAGATTTTCGTTTTTCCCTATAATGCTTTGTCTCCTTGTTTATGAAATGTAGCATAAGAACAAAACAGCGGCCGTGTATAACATTCTTAATTTATAGTATAACGGACCTTCCTGTACTTGTTTCCTAGTTGTAGTGAACGGATTAGTTTTGAAAGCAGAAAGTTATCTATCGAGGTTCATTATTAAAAAGTTATTATTATGGGAACCTCTACGGAGATATAATTCATCGATTGACTTTATTTCTTGTTCGAAATTCTTTAGAATGAAATAAGAACTTGAAACATTATGTCTGGGGTTTTCTGTTGATGAAGTTACAAATGTATGTCAGGGTTGAAGATCTGAACATTGAAGGCCTTGAGACATGTTATCTACTTGACTTTCTTTGTCCAAAAGAGTTTCTTTTGAAACTTTCACAGCAATTAGAATGCAAGTAAGCGGAGACTGTACTTCTGTTATGATAACATGAATCCTTTCTGACTGTCTCTATGTTGATCATTTTTCCTTTCTTCTCCCGAGTGTCATAAATTGCATATTAATTTAAACATCTCTACTCGTTCAGGGTTATTGGGTTTGATCACCAGAAATCAGTACTTCCATGTATTCCCGATGTCAATGATTGCCCTGGGAATCTCACTCTTCATGTAAACCTTGAAAAGAGTAGCTCCAGTGCTGTTTATGAATACTTTTCTGCCAAACATGGAGATATTACAGTTCCTGATGTAAGTAGGAATTAGGGCTCTTCTACATGCTTTTGTTCTCCAGCATCTTAGTATAGTAATTGCTGAGATAGAAAGATGTTTGAATATCATAAAGCATGCGGCTCCAAGTTTGCAGGACTCAAAAGTAAGAGATCGTGTGGAACTTGTTCTCAAATATATTGAGGATGGAGACCTTCGTCGGTGGAGCTTGCCCAACATCAGGGCCTTTAACTTTGGAATGGGTGAATGGCGCTCAAGATTCAATTGCATTGCTAATCCATACATGTATGAGCAGGTTTGATCCTTTATGGATCTCATATTACTGAGAAATTTTGAGTCGGTTTTAATATGAATTTAGTTCATAGAGAAGTGGGCACAATGAGTAATTCTTTATTTAAAGATGTGTCTCACGAACAATTGGAATTATACTTGCTTGACACACAATGTCAAGAGGTTATATGTTTCATTTACTCTACACAAGTGTTGCAACTTTTCAGACTATGGCATGATTAGCCTGGGTGTATGTTACTTCTGAAATCCGCTTTGTTACTTTTCTTACCCAAAATAGTTCTAACTTCAACTCCTGATATCATGTTGTTGCCAAACGTTTCTCTTACTTCCAAAAAAATCTTTGTCACAGTTGCTGGAGTTAACTGCTGAAGATTTAGTTGCTAAAGGAAACTCACATCTGTCATCCCGCCAGAGTGCTGCAAATAAGTTACTGGGAAAATTTTTCAGGGTTCGGCTGGGTAGAGGATTTTATGGAGAGTGTCTGGTAGTCTTCCAAGATTTAATCATCATTATACTGTCATTCTCTACTGCCGTTTGTAATTAATTCGTTGACCATGTCCAAGCATAACCTAACTTTACATAATTGTTATTCATATTTGTCCGTCTACTTTTTTTTTTTTTAAGTATATATTTATAAAAGCTTTCACCATTGAATTTTATTACCGTGGCATCATCATGTGACTGCAACATTGTGCTCCCACACCCAACTTTGAGATTGAAGTTTGTAATCAAATTTTGTTTCCTTCTCTGTTGCTTCAGGGGAGTCAGGGCAGATGAGAACTCAAATTTAAGTGAAGAAATCGGCAAGCTCCTGAGCGTCAAGAGTGCTGCTGCTGGTCTAAGGTAATTTATTCACAAAAATGCCCTTATGTTTTGTTTGTCTTAATATTTTTAATTCATTAGAAAAATAATTCTCCATTAGTTTGCTGACAGAAACATGAAGTTCAATCCGTGCTTAATGTCTAACTCAGATGGACCTTGGAAATTTATGACCATGAAATGGAGAAAAAAAATTATTCATGGGAAGTAAAAACTAGGGGGAAAAAACGGAAGCCACAGTCGGTAATGACTGAAATATAAATGCAGGTCTACCAATGAAATTTGACCCAAGAATTCCATTGGTCATTAGTGCAAGGCTCCTTTCATTTATTTCTTTAAAGTTGGGATCATTTGGATCAAGGACTGGTTGGACACAATAGCAGATGTGGTTAACCTATCCCAAACTAAATTAAACACACTTTTGGGTAAATGGTTCTTGACGATAATACCCACAACTGGTTTCCCCCACTTAATTTCTTTGTGGAACAAAATGGCACACTGTTCTCGCCAACTTCTTTCTACTCTAGCAATCTAAAATGAAGATATAAAGTAAAAGAATAAACAATTACCTAATGACAGCTTCATGAGTTATTGAGTTCTGCTTCTCTCTCGTCTTGTGTTGTTGACTCAGGTTTGGTGTGTCAATCATGGATGCGAGTTTTTTGGCATGGATCATGTGTCAGCATGTTAATTATGTTGATATGAGATTTAATAAGCATACATGTAAAGAGATATTGTAACAACTCTGTATCAGGGATGAGGGGCTTCATATTTTGCTTGGGCTCGGGAAAATTTAACAAGATCCTTGGCCGTTTCTGTAATTATATTGATTCTTTCTCTGATTTTAAGCATTGACTATACACACCTTTGTCCAAGCATATTTATTTACTCATATTCTTAGGTAAACAGCCAAGAATTTATTAAGGACCGGAGGAGTATAAGATCTAGTTTGTAGTTTAAATTGAACTACAAACTGGATCTTATATTAAGACTAAAGACCGTACATTGAAATAAGAATTATTACATTCTGGTGACAAAATGTTGACATCAGCATGGAAAATGCAAATGAACAAGCAGCAGTTCAACAAGCGCTACTTTGTCGAAAATGCAGGCAATTGATGGGTGAACAACTTTCTGGTTTGGGAATTAACGAAGTGAACGATTTGGAAAACCAACTGAAGATGAGTTTAAAACGTGTCCAGATCAGAAAGGTATGATAGTTCAGTTCAACTCGAATCTTCATTCAATTTAACATCTCACAATTTTACAGGGCAAGTAGTGTACTTATCATTAATTTGTCCGCAGGAGCAAATCTTAACTGATGAGATTAAAGCTAGAGCAAAAGGTATTCAAGAAATTCTGTTTCTGATCTTGGCAATTATATTTGAAAAAGTATTCCCACAAATTCTGAATAATTTATTGTTGCTAATGCAGGGAAATCAAGTTTGTCAAGAAAATGTTGAACTTCATGAAAGGATACAATTCATTAGTAAAGAAAATGCAGAGTTGAAAAAGTATTTAAGTTTCATCCATATAAGTTGCTCCAGTCTCATAAGCACATACACATGCATATACAATCAACAAGCTAAGCTTGCCCTTAATTCCCATCTATATATTGTGCCTGTGCTATATATGATTAAAAGCTAAGTGTTTCAAGTTTTTTTTCATAGTCTAAATAAAGTCTTATTTTTTAATTAACTAGATTTGTGAAGCAAGGGTTATAAATGATGAAAATGAGAGTTTCAATCCTCCATACACTAGCAACCTGCAGTTGAGCCAGCCACGATCTCAATCTAGTGAGCCACCAACCAAAGCTATGGAGATGGCGTATATTATATTCCTCCAAACTCATGGATAAACATACAGTTTGAACAAGCATTAATATATCTTTATTGATTCCTATGACAGACTTCAGCTACAAGTCTTTCAAGCTTTGCGAAGTGGCTATAATTGCTTGATCGTTATAGCAGAATATTCCTACAGATGAATAACATTAAAATTATAAGAAACTAACAAATATGATGATAAAATATGCATATTGAACCATGATGTGCAACCAGGCCGGAAAACAAATGTAAATTTTTCTATCTTGCGTGTCCAAAATATGCACAAATTAATGTATCAAAGAGTGCATGAAACTCGAGAAATATGTTGAAATGACATGAAATCTTAGAGATATACAAGGTCATTGGCTCAATTTGAAATTAAATTAAGAGAATTATGTCCACTCGAAGTTGATCTTTGTATTGTCTTTCTTAAACTCAAGTTTCCTTCAGCAAAACTCGAGTTATGATCTTTGTCCGTGCTTCTTCTGTGCAAACCTCGAGTTTTCCCTCATTAAAACCTGAGTTTTCGTCCCTGTGATGTACTTTGTCATACTCTATTTTCTTTTCTTTTCTTTCTTTTGTTTTTTTTTTTTCATTTCGCTCTGGCGATCCAATATAATCCTTCTTATTTCAATACGTGTGACTTACAAATCCCTTTTCAGTGTTTTCCCCTTAATGAAAACACGTTGAGTCACTTATATATTGTGGATTAAATTATAAAGAACAACTTGTCGAACTCAATAAAAGCTTCAGCTCTTACGACGGCCAGTTCAATTGTTAGTTTCTTTTGAGTAACGGAAAGTTAATTATGTTTAACGACTAGTTAACATTCTCCATTTATAAATAAAGAATCATTTATGTTAAAACAGAGTGAGACGAACTTTCTAAAACTACGAGTATTACAACTATTCAATTGCTCTAAAACTTCCGCTCAAACAATCTCAACTACACTTAGCTTCAATATATGTATCAACTCATTAAGTGAGGAAATCTCTATCCAACCCCTTCGGTGAAAATCATTTTTATATCCTTTGAGTAAGATGTGTGAGAATTTTGAGTGGGTTTCTTGATCACCCATGTAAGGGGAGTCTAAAATTATTGTGTTGTTGCTTCATAAGTGTCTTCGTCGAATTTGTGGAAATAGTGGCTGAAAACCTCCAGACATTCGTAGAGATTGGACGTGGGTCATGCAGATTAAACCGAACTAGGATAAATTTACTGTTGTGCATTGCCCTTCTTCATCTTCACTCTATCCTTTTAGTCATCCTTGCTTTGGATGCTCTTTTCAACTCATTCGGTATGTACACGTAAAGCGGAAAAATTTTCTATCACTCAATTCACTCTCCTTTTAGGTCACCGAACTACTAAAAAAGAGTACTTAAGAATTAATAATATTGATAAGTAAATAAACACACACACACACACACACATAACAATCAATGTACATTGGAAGGTTAAACTAAACTTCAATAATTTTAAAGGAACATAATAAAGCATATGTAATAGAAACGTAGATAATTAAAACACTAAATTGTGGATTGTTTATTTACTTCACCCAAGAAACAAATCGTCAGATCGTCAGTGTGAACGCATGTGTGAACGCATAGTAAATTATATGGAACAGTCAAGTTATTGCCAGTCTGCTTTTTGCCAATTAATTAAATAGGGGAATAAGACAATATGGGCAAGAACGTCCAAGAGCAACTAAGCAATCCTGTCTTATTATAATAAATCAAAAATAAATTCATTAAAATAAATTATCAACAATCAAACAAGGACCGGTCACTAGTCAGAATTTGTTTTTAGACAAAGTGAAAGTGAACCCTATTGTTTTAAAAATTGAAATAAACCTACCTCTTTGGTATTGATGAATTTTGGAAGAGCTTGCGTAGGGTATCACAGGCTTTGCACTGTAAAGAATAATTTATCGGAGAAACATACTTTAAGAATTAGAACTTGAATTACAAAACATGGAAGGAAAAAATGCTTGCAGACAATCGATGGAAGGAAAAAAAATACAGAAAACTAAAGATAAACTGTAGAATTTTTGCCTAGGTCTTTTTTTTTAAAAAAATTGTACGCCAATCTTAATCCTATTTTCCCTAATTTATTGGATTTAACTTTTAGAATTTTCTTCTATAATTTATTGATACATTCTTGCGATGACATTATAAAAGAATTGACCACGTATAAAAACTGGTCATATATTTTCCTCACATCATATGAAGGATAAAGAATAAGGTTATAGACTCCGCAAGTTTAGATTCCCCCCCCCCCCCCCAAAAAATTCGTTTTCTTAGCAGAACGCAGATAAGTGCTTCTGTGTTAGCAAAATGCTCGTATTTAAAGGTAAAACGAGCCCAAAAACTTTATACAGATTTTACTATATATATTGATTGATTGGTTGGCTATATTCATATGTACAAGTCAATTTGTTAAAGTTAACATGGGAATTAACAGTTTTTGATAATTACTCAATCAAATCAGTATATATTAATAATAAACATGAATCCACGAAATTATAGCCCCTTTCTTTTGCCAATGTGAATAGATTTTATAATTTCATTTTTTTTCCTCGCGGTTTTAACATTATTTATTTTCATTAAAAAAAATTCAAAAGCCTGTGCAGTGTACGGAGGTTTATTCCAGTTTACTTGTAAACTTGGCAAGAAAATTCAGGTTAAAAAAATTGGCAAGAAAAAGAGAACAATGCTAGCGTAACAAACTGTTCTCATTTAGCATAATTTCATAAATTGCTGAAGCGGCTGGATTGGAAATGGACGTGTTAACTATTGAACCGTTGGACCTTAGTTAAAGCTTCTTAATTTAGCATGCTTGTTGCAAAATTATTGATATTATGAACTTCAATGTAGCTTGTTTCTTTTCAAGCATGCTTGTTGTGATGGTATATTGTGTGATCCCACAAATAACACATGCATTGTTGATGGGCTAATTAAGATGAGATGATTAGGACTTTTTTTTTTTTTTATTTTTTTGCTAGACACATGTATCCTTCTATTAAAGGCAATAATATTAGTTTGTCATGTTGTGAGAAACTAGCTCCTTCCACTAGATCTAATCTCTGGTGGTGACGTTAAAGACTTTTCAACACTCTCACCACATGATGAAGAGACACCTAATTTGCTTCTTTGACTAAGAAGGGGAGCCATATAGTTGATCTTAGACTCTATGCCTTTAGCCTGATACATACACTTCAAGTACTAAAGAGATTAATTGGTCGATCCAATGTGTTGGTTAGGCCGTAAACTTTTGGGGCTAGAACCCTCTGCCTCCCTTATGCATGCAATGCACCAAGTGCTTAGGCCTTGGACAGAGGATTTAGATAGTGGAGGTTGCATCTCATAATTACTTGCATAACTGTATCTAGTATATTATATATATATATATATATATTAATCTAGTATATTGTGTGTGATTGTGGTTTGCATACATAACATTACATAGCTCCAGGCCACTCGTCATCTTCATTGAAAGCCTTCTCCTTGTGTTTTTTTTTAATTGCTCAGCTATGCCTTTTTTATTATTATTATTCCAAGCCTTCGAGATTAAGTATTCAAAGGGCATCATTCACCAAAAAGCGTCTCTCATAAGAACTTCCCAAACAAACCTGTTTCTTTGTCTTCTTCTTCCTCCCACTATTCTTCTGTGAGTTCCTTTGGCTTATCGAGCATATAAACTGTTCCTTTCGATTTTGTATTTTTGTTTCTTTTTTTTTTTTAAGTTATATGTGTGGTTTTGGAACAAATTATTCTCCGATTCCTTTAAGAATGGCGTTTTTGTTTGAGTTTTTTTTTTTTCTCTTTTGATGAATTTTTGTAGCTCTACAGATTTGTTGAGGGCGAAGTAGCGAAGAAACCCTAGAGTAATTAATGGGAAAAAGGAAGATTGCGATTGAGAGGATCGATGATATACCAAACAGGCAAGTTACTTTCTCAAAGAGACGAAGTGGTTTGTTCAAGAAGGCAAGGGAGCTTGCGATCCTCTGTGACTCACAAGTTGGGGTCATCGTGTTCTCTAGCACTGACAAGCTCTATGAATATGGTAGCCCCAGGTGTGTGTATATATTACCTCCGATTCTTAATATGAGATCTAATTTATTGTTAAATAGTATATATATTGTTCCTGGCTTCATTTACTTTGTTTTCTTAGAAGAAACCCAGCTCACAGAATTTTCTTTGAGCTTCTCTCTTTTCGTATACTCATACAATATGCCTCTAGATCTTGCTTCTTTTTAAGGTAAAACTTTCTGAGTTTTTGCACATATTCAAGTGTATCATGCGATCTTGTAATTAAGTCGTTAGTTTTCCATGTTTTTCTTTTGTTATTCTCTTTCTCCTCTTATATATGTTTGCTTAGGCTTGAGAATTGAGATATATATATATATATATGTATATATGTATATGTGTGTGTGTGTGTATCAATATGCATGTGTGTTATTTTCAGAATTACTTTCTGTGAATCATGATGTTATCAATAACGGACTTGATATTTGACGCTTGTTTTTCTCCCTTTCTCTCCTACCTTGGTTCTTTCTATCGTAGGTCATTCCTAAGATTCTTTGTATTGAGACCGTAATGCATAGATATAGAAGCACAAAACTATACATACATACACAATATATCTCTTATATGTAACTATATATAGAAAATTAAACATTTGGTCCCAATAATTCTGACTCGATTAGAACTCAACACTTGAACTTTCACCCAGTGTGATTGAATTCTTGTAATCTTATTTGTTTAAAAGAGTTCAAATTAAGGGTTTGGTGGTAGTGGAAGCATGGTCTACGTCAGTATTAACAAGGGTAGGTTTAATTTGGTTTCATTTGATAGGTTTGATTGAGTTTAACTAAATGTATGGTCTAAATAAAATGTAACATTTGCAGTACAATAACCTTTACAAATAAGCAGTGATTCATAGGTGAAATTTAATAAAGATGTATTTATAACATGACCCATATATCTAACTAGATAGAAGAGAGACCTTGGATAAAAACTGGGGAGAAATCCCTTATTTAAAAAACTTACAAATTGAATTGAAATAATGAAGTGACTCTAAAATTATAGAGAAGAATGCAATGTAAATTTAAAATTGGAAAAATTGAGAAAAATCCCTCATTGAAAATTTTGTTAGTGAGAAAAATGACCTAAATAAGAAGAGTTTTTTTTATTCTATAGTACCAATACTTTCTGTGTATGAAAAATTTATCGGGTCCTCATCATCAATAAAATTTTAATGGGTTTTCTCCCCTCATTTTCCCTTATAAGAGTACCAAGTGTAATCCGTCCAACTCTTAGGTAATTGTTCATAAAATTATCACATCTTATGAATAATACAGCTTAGTATAGATTATATTTTTTATATTGATTCACAATGCGTATTTTTGTTATCAATTTTAATTAAAATTGAATTAGTCATGTGAAAATTTATAAAATGCATAATTTCAAATTCAAAAATATTATTCTGGATAAACCAACTAGCATCCAGGAGTTATGTTGGGCCTTAACTAGTGCACATCGAGTTGGGTTAATAAGCCACATGAATGGACATAAAGTTATCCCGATAAACTACGCAATGCCTTAACTTGACACTCTTAGTCTCTTGGTATGAGGAAAATCGTAGGAAGAAGGATGGACGAAAAATTTTAATAAGTTTGATTTGAAATAATTAAAAAATTAGGATTATAAAATTTTAATAAAGAAAAAATGTAAGATAAAAGAGTAAAAAAATTTTAACTCCACTTCTCCAATTTGTTTTTTAAATCGAACTTAAAATTTTGGTTGAATAAGTCATAAACTTGCTTCTTTTTTTTTTTTTTGCATTATTCAGAGTGTCTTCAAGTCATAAACTTGCATTTTTTTTTTTGTATAACTTATGAAGTAAGACCGCTTGTCATCTTAGCTAACAGCTTGTTGGTCATAAACTTGCATTTTAAATCAAACTAGAAAATATGCGCAACACAATATAGGAAAAAAACACACAAAAGAAAATATGTGCAACAATAAGAGACGAAGTAGAAAGACTCTGTGTGTGTGTGTGTGTGTGTGTGTGTGTGTCCCATATTCATGAATGTAATTTACATGGATAAAAGCTTGATTTTCATCTTATTGATGGAATTCTCTGCTTATAGCAGCATGAAGTCAGTTATTGAGCGCTACAACAAAAAAAGAGAGGAAAATCATTTGCTTATGAATCCAGCTATAGAAGCCAAGGTATGAGACCAAATACCATTCCTAAAATAATTTTTTAAAGTTTTCTTCATATACAAGTCATGTTTAGTTACAAGACATTCAAAAATCCTAAACCCCCTAAAGTCTTAATTGTCGGAGATAGATAATAAATTTACTGAGATAAGAAAATTAATTAAATTATTTATTTGTAATAAATGTATATTGGTTTTTCTAAAAATATTCATTTTAATTGTTTGAATTGGAAGCTACCCTTGTTGATAAAAATCCCTTTTATTATGTGCAATTAATAGGATTGTCTCAGGAAAAACTACATATAAAATTAAAACAAACCTCTCAACTAGTTTCTACCTTTAGAACTAGAAAGAGTATATAATTTGTAAATAAAGAATATATAATTCGATTCATTAGTATGTGTTTGCATGTACTTGCACTTGTCAGCGTTATATTTCACTCCAAGAAAGATCATACAAAGAAAAAAGGGGGAAAAAATTTCTAATTTGGAGAACACCTGGCTCAGGCAGGGGGGAAAAATACAAGACTTGAGCTCACAAAACACCAAGTCACAATATATATATATATATATATATATATATAGTCTAATGATAAGGGGAAGATGGAAGAAAAGGTGAAGAACTGCATTCTATTTATTGATTCTATGTTACGCATCAATAGTCATAAGCCTTGCACATATATACATAACATATATGTATATGCATATATATATGGAGAGAGAGAGAGAGCGAGACACACACACACACACACATACACACTTCTCTACGGTAACTATATATAACAGAATTTATAAACGAACATAACCATCACTGCGTACTCTCAACAGCCCCTCTCGTACATGATCACAAAATTTTGGGCATGTGATTGTAAAATTTCTCACGACAGCTAGCTAAACCATAGTCTGCTTGCTTCATGGGAATTCAATCTATATGAAACGTGCTTCCGAACGCCCTATTATTTCCAGAAATTATAGGATCCATGTACATCAAATCGAGGCAATGGTTTTCTCAACAACAGGAAAATATGTAAGTGGACAATGTAATATTCCATTATGCAAGGCTAGTTAGAAGAATCATGTTCATGCTTATAAGTTAGAGATTCATTCCTTCTTCCTTAAATATTCAATATCACATTTTTATATGTGCTATATTATTTATTAGATACATATATCTGTTGTTGCACTTGGTAGTTTTGGCAAAGAGAGGCAACGGTCTTGAGGCAAGAACTTCAACAGTTGCAGGAATTGCACAGGTATAATAAGGAAAACCAGATACTTTGGAACCAGAATTATTATATTCTGGTAACAGAATGTTGATCTCAACATAAAAAAAAAAAATGCAAATCAACTAGCAGCAGTTCAACACAAACTACTTCTGATCTGAATTCTGAACCCACTCAATTATAATAACCCCAAGTAATTGATTTCCTTTTTGGAAAGTGCAGGCAATTGACGGGTGAACAACTTTCTGGTTTGGGCATTAACGAAGTGAACAATTTGGAAAATCAACTGGAGATGAGTTTAAAACGTGTCCAGATCAGAAAGGTATGATAATTCAGTTCAACTCAGATCTTCGTTCAATTTAACATCTCACAATTTTACAGGACAAGTAGTGTACTTGAACATTGAGTTATCCGCAGGATCAAATTTTAACTGATGAGATTAAAGAGCTACAACAAAAGGTATTTAAGAAATACTGTTTCTGATCTTGCCATGTATATATGATTAAAGGTAGTCCCGCAAATTCTGACTAATTTATTGATGCTATTGCAGGGAAATCAAATTAGTCAGGAAAATGTTGAATTTTATCAAAGGATACAAGTCATTAGTAAAGAAAATGAAGAGTTAAGAAAGGTATTTTAAGTTAATGGAAAAAAAAATCTTATCGAATTCGATCTTTTATTCATCTTTTCATTCATATAATTTACTCCTCTCTCCCAAGCATGCATATAGCCACCCACACACACGCACATATGCATATACAATCAACAAGCTTGCGCTCAATTACCATCTATTGTGCCTTTGCTATTGAATAATAACGAATTATTAGTCGCCATAAGTCCATTTTAAAATAAACCGAATTAATGCAATACAATATACGATCTGGGTCATATATATTCATTTTAGGGAGCTCTAAATAATTCTTAAGTAACTAAGTATGCAAGATATAAAAGTCGACATGGAAAAGAATTATTTTCTTTTTAACTAACTTTTTTGCAAAAATTATAAAATACAAAAAGGGTAAGATATTTTTGGGTTTTTAGTCTATAAAAATGGTATGAGTGAAATAAAATATGAAAACTAACAAGTGACAAGAATGAGATGGTGATCCTCTAGCACAAATGGTTTAGGCTAGCATTACTTCCAAATAATTTGGAAGTTAGCTAACTTCAAAAGACTCCAAAAAGCACCCATTAGACTCAATTTAATTAGAATAATTAAAATCGGGACACCTTGTAAATTAATTACTCACGGTTAGATTAAACTGTTTGACACAAATTAGCAAAAGAGAATCAAAGAAATGTATTCAAACTCATAATCTAATAACCAAGTCACGTTAAATTACTGTAAAATATTCTCAATAATCTCAATACGTTAACTACCACCAAAAGAACGCAATGAAAATTAAAGATGCTAACAACCCAATATCAGAATACAATTCAATGGTTGAGAAGCTATATATCCAAACTCCAAGATATACATACCCAAACATTATAAAGCTCATCCTAAGACCTGGAAATCATTAATACAGTGAAAGGCATAAAGAATGGAAAAGCTGAAACTCCTCTTCAAGCTTCAAGTTCAAGCCATCACTATGCTCTAGTGGATTGAAGAATTTAGCTACTCCTAACCATCACCACCACTCCAGTTCGATTCAGCCATGGAAAAATGTAGAGTGAGATGTGAAATTGATGAGGAGTGAAGGAGAATGGCGGATTGAAGGAGAGAAGACGAGAGTATGGATGAGGAAGATGATAGTGCTGGCCGACTGGTTCTGCAGGTTTTTCACTCTGCAAAACGAAGCTGGAGGTCGCGATTCTGGAGGTAAGAGTGAGTGGGAGGAAGTCGAGTATGGGTGAAGGGAGAAGATGAAGATGGATGACCGGATTGGAGATAGAAGTTGCGAAGATGAAGACGAATAAGGGGGATGACCTGCGTTTTTCCCCTCCTCTTTTTCACTCAGCGTTCGGCCAAATGGATTTGAGAGAGTTGAGATTAGGCCATGTTTGGTTAAGGGAATAGTTAGCTAAAGGGGTGTTTGGTAATGGGCCTAAGTGAATTGAAAAGAAATTGCAACCCTCTGTTGAATGAAAAGTCCATAGAATTTTTGTTCTGCTAGAAGCTCTTTTTCTTTTTACATAAAGTGATTTAACTGGCCCAAACCTCTAATTATCGCCAGAAAAATAATTTAACCAAATGGATAGTCATATAATTTCAAGAAAAAAATTATTTAGGAATTAAATATCACATAATTATCATCAATTAATAGCTATTAAGCACATCATTCCTCAAATAGCATTAGCACTCAATTAAGCCAAATAATAATGATGACCTAAAACTCACAAAATAAACCACGAAAACACAAATAAAATATGGCTTCGTCAGCTATATTTATATATGTTTAAAAGCTAAATGTTTTCAATTTCAAGTTTTCTTTCAAAGTTTAAATGAAGTTTTTTTTTTCTTAATTAGATCTGTCGATCAAGGGTTATTAATGAAGAAAATGAGAGTTTCAATCCTCCATACACTACCAATCTGCAGCTGAGCCAGCCACAACCTCAATCTAGTAAGCCACCAACCAAAGGAATAGAACTGGGGTATATTACTCCTTCAAACTCGTGAATAAACTTTGTTAAATATTTTTGTGTGAATATACATATGTTGTTCCTTGCTTAAAATTACAATTAAACCCTTGATTCGTATCACAGATTACAGCTCTTTGGCCACATTTGATGTGGGAAGATCATCAAGTTTTCTATGGGGGACATGTTTCGATTCACCAAGGATCAGACACATTTGATGTTCCATCAGGAATCATTCCTATTATATGGATCAGACCTATTGGGTATATCTCTGTAAGTTATAGAAAATAAAGCTATCAAATTTGTCCAGATCGATCTGTGTTATGATCAAATGGATAAAATTTGGACACGGAAACCTTCGTTTGTATTATCTTTGGCGAAATAACCATCAAAATAAAACTGCTCTTACTGTCTTTATTTTCTATCCTTCTTAATATTTGATGGGGAGAGAAAATTTGATTTTTTTTTTTTTTTGCAATTCACATTTCTGAGTGTCTTTATATTTTTTTTAATCTATTTATGTCAAAAGTATCACTAATTCAATGAAGAAGCAAAATAAGGCTATTTTTTTGGGACTCAAACACATGATTAAATTGAAGTACTATGTGACTTTTCTTACAAGAACACAAAAAAAATCATGCAAGAAGAGAAAACAAAAAAATGTTGGTTAAATTATGAGTCAAAAGGTTTTTTTTGGATGCCCAAAATGGATATTTTAAGTAGATATAGTGACGTCAAACATTGTGAGTTTGATGAGCCAACACATTGTGTGCGTTTGTTTCTTTATGGACATGATCAAAAATACTAACCATCCCATCCCCCCTGATAAAATCTCCCATTTTCTTATAAGTGAATGATATTATCGAGTCACGGGAGGTTGATCTTATTATATCATTGATTCCAATATAGCCTCAAACCTTCCAAAAGCGCTAGTACGCAGTTGGAGTTGGAGTCCTAGGCAAGTAAGATAACCTTCTTATCATGGGACTCATAATAAGGTGTTAAGAAAGAATCCAATATTTTTTTTTTAGAAAATTAATCTTTTGATTTGTATAATTTAATTCTAACTTTAACTTGGTGTAACTCAATTCTTATACTTTTAATTTGATCATAATCTGATTTCTGAACTTTGAATCAATACAAATTATAACATCTCAATTTTTTTTGGATATAATTAAAGCATGATCATGGGAAAAAAATTAGAGAAGTTTTTAACCATCAATTTGTAAAGCTTCCATTTTCAATTTTTCTGTGTCATTTCATCTGGTGTTTTCTTGATGAAGAGTGAAGACATGAACGGTTATATATTTGGGGCATGAAGCACACGCCTCTATGCCCAAAAACACAGCATTTATGTCAACAATTTTAAGTTAGTTAAAACAATCTCTCAAAGAGCTTCTTCACTTTTACCCTTGTCTTACAATAATTAAGACAATAATCATACAAGAATGATGTTTCTGAAAGAACATACTCACTCACACCAGATGAAATGACAGAGATTTCATTAGTTTTGGCTTCAAAATGATTTGATGTATCCTTGAAACTCATGAACTCATCTGATCACTTTCTGACCTTTTTGCCATTAGTAAATACAACTTTAACAGGTCATATTTAACCCGTCACGTTCTAAATTTTGAATTACAGGTTAAATAAGCTGATTTGGGTTAAAAGTTGAAAAGTGAAGTTTAGAGGCAAAAGTATAAATAAGCAAAACTATTGAGCCAAAGTATCATGATAAAAACTGCTAAGAAATTAGAGAAAAATCCTAAAAGATAAAAAAAGAGGTTTCTATGGCATTTTGAGCCCTAGAGAAATTATTTTTTCCCTCCAAAGACGCCTCGAAAAATTATTTTAAGGTAATATAATGAGCCCTCAAAAACAATTAATTTACCCAAAAAACTTATTTTCAGGTGAAATTTTAAGAATTTTAATGACAATATAATCATTAAATTATGTAAAGGCATATAAAAATTAAGGAAAAATTATAGTTTTAATTGGGAGTTTATGAAGTTCATGAGAAATTTTAATTTCCCATAAGTGACTTAAATGGTTTTTAAATTTATTTTTAATAATTTAGGGCCTCCTATAAATCCAATGAAAAATGGTTAGATGTTATCGTTTGACTTGAAAATTTTAAATAAATTATTATATAATGGAAGGAAGTTAATTAAGAAGGGAAATTGTTGAAAACTGTCTAAATTGACTTCTGAAAATGGAAATCGGTAACAATAGAAGGGTAAAATGGTAAATTCACTATCTGAAGCCCCAAAAGGAAATTGGGCCATGCCCAGGCCCATTTGTAGAGCCCAAAACGTGTTCAATCTGATCTGGGGGGTAGAGAGTCTGGCGTCCGCATTCAGTGCTCATCACCTGATGAGCAATCTGGGCCGTCCAGATCTAATCTAGACGGTCCAAAATTAATATTTTTAAATAATTATTTAAAAATAGAAAATATTATATTTTTAAAGAATAATAGTTAAAAGATTATCTTTATTTTTTATCCTATACCTATTAAAATAATTATTTTAAAAAATAAAATTAAAATTAAATCTAGACGGTCCAGATCAAATCTGGACGGTCCAGATCTGATGAGCATTGGGTGCTTATCAAAACTGATGAGCATCCAATGCAAATCCCAGAGTCTGATCCATTATTTCGGAAAAAGAAGACATTCAAATCCTCCCCTCTCTCTCTCCGGGTGGTGGGACGTCGGTGAGTAAAATAACCCTTTCCCCCAAGTACTCAAACACCTCAGCGCCTCCCCTCATCCCACTCTTCGTCCCTGTATCATAAACCTGTGAGAGAGTGAGAGGTGGAGACGGATAGAACGAGAGGCAACGATGGGGGAAGAAGAGGTGGAAGAGAGGGAGAAATCTCACATGCAAGCTTGAATCTAGATCGAGCTGAGTCCCCTAAACATCATCCCATCTTTATTTTCTTCTGTTCCTGCATCAGTTAGAGAGAGAAAGTGAAGATGATAGAAATCTGGAATTTTGTTGCGGGGGTGTGTTGTTTGATTTTTCTTTTCTTTTTTTTCAGTGGTATGTGCCAAGTGTGTTAAAATTCCTAAATGGATAAGCTATGATGTATGCTGGTGATGCATGTTCATCGATTTTCAGGAACTGTAACTTGGATAGGATTTTGTGTTGCTCCACTCTCTTGGTATCTCAAAATGTTGAATAAGTACCAATAAGTAGTTTGGTTGAGATGGTAGTAAGCCGTAAGGAAGAAATCCATAAGCACACTGCACTTGTTGAGAGAAGCGAATAATTTAATGCACTTGAGCCTTAGACTAGCCTTAGACTAGTTGGTTGTGCGGACAAAATACTAGGGCAAAGAAGTCCAACGTTTAGATATTAGGCCAGATACTAATGGTTTAACAAAACAAAAATGCTGAATAAGTATTCTAAATTGTATGTTAAACTATCTTTAGGGACACCAATATGATGGTTAAAACCATTTTCTTGAAGCTCCAAAATTTTCAAATTTCTAACAGGGGCTGTTCGAAATTTTTAAGGGGGTAAATTGATTAAAAGCAAGGGAAGTTGTATAATAGGAAAATTATTACAAGTTTGATCTTTGAGAGCACGGTTAGCTCGAAAATCGGAAGCTTTAAGTGCTTGGAAAGATGCAGTTCTATTTAAGAGTGTTTAAGAACTTCAATGCTAAAGGAATTAGTGCCGAACGAATTTCCCATGTTCCCCTGTTTTTGTTCAGCCGCTGTTTGAGTAAGAAGGAGCTGGAATTTTGCAATTCCAAGCTCAAAAATGAGTTGGTTGTGCCAAATTATGTAGGATGAGGATGGGAGAGGAATTACCAAGTAAGAGAATAGATAAGGAACGTTAAAAGTTGAAGTAAAAAGGGACAAAGTTATAGAGCTAAACGAAAAGTAAGAATTTGGGGCACAGGGAGAGATTAATTATGTTATTAAAATATACCAAAGTGTGTGAATTAATCTATCCCTATCTACCTAATTCCTAGGACTTGACTTGTGTCCAAGCCCCACAGGGCATTAAGCAAGTGCAAGAGAAGCAAGCAAGAGGGCGGAAGTTCGTAGTTGATCTTTTATTTCTTTTCTTTTTTTTTTATGCATAGGTTGCATCTTTATTATTTGTCCCATAGTTGCTGTAGTTAGGCATAAGAATACGTAAATTCCTTGCTCAAGTTGTTGCCAGGCAATGTGCATTGTTTAGTTCATCAAAATCGCAAGGCACTACCAAAAAACATGCATGGCATTAGTGATGGAATTTTATTCTATCGCTAATCCCTCACAAATTCTATCACTAAAATTAGTGATGGAATTTAATGACAAAAAATTTCTATAACTAAATTATTGAAGGATTAATTCCGTCACTAAATTAGAGATGGATTAGTGGCGAAAAAATTCCATCACTAAATTTTATTCCGTCACTAAATTCTATCACAAGTCAGTCGCTAATTTTATTTTAAATGATTAGTGACGGAAATTAGTAACAGAAAAAGTTCCGTCACTAATTTTCGTGACAGATTGTTCATTGACAGAAAAAAAAGAAGATCTTGATGGGAAAAAAATGTGAATGAAAGATCTCACTGACAAACTCAATTATTTTTATATATTTTGGTATCTTTTATATGGGTTTTGTCAACTTAATTGGTCCCTTTTTGCCTTAATTGATTGTTCTTTGACTTATTTTATTTTATTTTGAATTATTATTTTATAGGGGCAAAATTATTATATTTTGGTTTAATTGTGACTAATTGATTTTTGAGGACAATTAATGCTACCTTATCTTTGAATTTTTGCTTGCAGGTTTTTGAAAGATTTTGAAAATAAATAAATAAATAAATAAAAGAAAAAAAAAATAATAATAAAAGGGGGGAGCAAAACGCTGCGTTTTGCTCCCACCCCAAATATCTAATATTACCATCATCTTCGTAAAAGAGAAGAGTGGACGGCGCTGAGAGAAAGAAAAGGGAGAAAACGAAGGAGGCGGGCGCTGGTTGAAAACGGTCGGCGAAAAGAAAAAAAAAATACTCCTCCGGTCCTTAATATAAGACCCA